GATCACCACCAGTTTCCCTCCTTTCCGCCTCCTTCTCCCATATCATCAACTCAGTTTCGTCCCGTGGCCCGCCATAGCCCCCTACTGGCCCAATATGTTTTGCGTGAACTGCCGACATAGCGGCGGACAGAGAACTCCGGAATTCCGAAGGCCCAACCCGGGCGCGCGGCGACCTGCGCCACGTGGCGGCCCCCGACGGCCTAACTTTTCAGGACCACCCCCACCACGGAGGGACTTCCCCGTAACCCGTCACCCACAGTGCCCCGGCCCCACCAGACCGTGAGTCCCTTGCGCACGCACCCGTGACTCGCCTAATTGCATTCATACCCTTAAGACTCCCCCACTTTCCCCAAAAATCCTTGGCACACCCCTTTTCGCACTTCCAGGGCCACATCCCACTCCGATCAGGAAGTCGCGCCGGGCGTGAGGTTGGTATCGGAGCCCAACACGTGGCTAGGGTCTTAGGATTGATAGCACGTTAATAAGGCGACCTGGCTAACCGTGGGCGACCTCGCCCTCGGAACGCGTATAGACGCGACCCTATCGTCACCAGAAGCAGAGCGGCTAACCCACGAACAGCCAATATGGCTGCCAACGTGCAAATTCCGGCTCCGCGACAAAATGCTAATCTACCTAATCAACCTGCCCCACGTGCACGAGCTCCCATGTCGTCACCAGATCTCTATCTATTCGATCCGGCGCACCATCTCGCAGGAGCATGGCTGGCCACGCTTAGAGCACAGAAGTACGATGATCACGAAGCATAGATCAACATTCCGGCTCAAATGGGAGGAGACGCTCATCATTGGTATAGTACCTATGTATGGGTGGATCTCCCGACCTTCGAACGGGATTTCATGAACCGATTTGATTATGTTCACCCTGAGCAGGCATTGTACATGATCAAGGACCGAGTGCAAAAACCGCTCGAATCCGTTGCGGAATATCGAAACCGGTTCTATAGGATGTTCGTAAAAATTGAGCGAGATGAGCGAGTAGGGAGAGATCTGTTCATTGACGGACTTCGCAGTCGAACAATAAGGACTAAGTTGCGAAAGCAGTTTTCCCCCATCACTCATACGCTACAACAAATTATGGCTGCCGCGAAAGAAATGGAGCGGAAGTTCGCAGCGAACTTCCTGGAAGGAGAAGACTACCCTAGAGACGGAGATTTGACCGAGCTCGTACGAGCAAGAGCAGAACTGGCTGCTTTACAGAACAAATTTGAAAACATGGGATTTGTATCAGGACCTGTCACTTACATGGAACAGATAGGCCCCAAACGAGTAATCCTAAGCGAGACTCTGAGCATCTCTGCTCCTATGATGCCCCCGCCCATCAGGGCATTACCCCCGCCGCCGGTTGAGTCTCCCATACGATCGAACGAATCCGCGGCCATTTTCGAACTAACCAAAACTTTGATTAGTTTAATCCAAGAAAGCAAAAAGGAACAGCGAGAGCATAATGCTCGGTTGGAAGCCATGATGAGGAATATGCAACCTATTGCGGTGCGTGCCCCTCCGATGCAACAAGGATTAGCCCCCGCCCCTGCTCTCGGAGGAGCTGCGAACAATCAGAATGTTTGTTATGCCTGTCATCAGCCCGCGATTGCCCCCACCGACCCCCGCAACAGCGGATCGGAGTCGCACCTATGGCTGCGGCCCCCATTGCCAATGGACCTGGACGAGTCGGAGCCTTGATGGAAGAAGTAGAGGGTGGGGGAAGTGCCTTGGCCACCACGGAAGAGGCCGCTGAGCTAATTCCGCTAGATCAGTATGTGTCGCTGGGATATCTTGGACTAAGAATGATCGGATCAATCAGACCAGCACCAGAACCGAAAGAAGTGGCGGAGTGGCGACCGTCTTTAGGAGAAATGGAGTCGGGAGGACCCACCATCGTCACATGAGAAATCGATGTATTAAACATTATCCGAGCTTTGGATCATCGGATTCCACTACCGATCGGTCATCTACTCTCGATCTCTGAGCAAGCCAATGAACGAATGCTGCAGCATTGCAAAGCAAACCGAAAGCGATTTGCCCTCGCCCGGACACCAAGTACCAAAGCCAAGGGCCCCGCGCCGGAAGGAAATCCAACAAGCACTCCGGACCCAATACAGGTAGGATTAATTCAGAGAGACGATCATTTCTTACGGATTAAACCGATTCCGTGGAAATCCGCAGAATGTGATATTAAAATTTGGGGAATTCCTTACAACGCGATTATAGATTCAGGAGCAGTTGTGTTGGCTATTTCGCTAAGAGTGGTCAAAAGGGCAGGCAGGAAGAACAATATGATCATGCTCACCGAGAAAGATCGGCTCGTTTCGGTAGATGAGGAAAAGATTAAGACTGTAGGGAGAATGACCAATGTCGCTTTCCGATTAGGTAAAGTACACGCGCTTGAGGATGTCGTAGTTCTAGATGTTAATACGTACGACGTTCTTTTCGGACTTCCCCCTCTTGTGGCGTTACGAGCAAACCTGGATTTCGAACGACGATCGATCGTCCTCCGAAATACAGGAGGAAAACCCTACGCGGTGCCCATGCGATTGACCCTTCGCACTACTATTAACGCGGTACCGCGGGTTTTGCCGATGATGGCAAGGACTCTCCGCATGATCTTCTGGGGCGACCCCACAGAAGGAAAATCCTCTGATGATGCGGAAAGCAATGACGAAGATGATCCTGAGATCTTGAAATTAGTATGACAGCGCGTTTAGTACCCGCCGCCCAAGACGATAGCAAGAACGGTGCAACTGACCAGCCAAAAAATTCAAAGGATGAAGGCGATGATCTTGGGAGAGCCCCTCGTGCAGATTTCGAGGATGGTCGACTCTTTGGAACCCCCGCAAACTCTGTACGAAGGGATCACCCCTCTCCTCGCCAGGTATAGAGACAAAAAGCATTATTGCGACATTACGAAACTACCTAGGTCTTTACTAACATCGGGTAAAGAAGTGAGGTTGTTACGCTTGGGGGCGGAAGCAAGCTCTCTGGAACCCCCTTGCGTTTTGAAGCAGAAACAGACGGGTTGGGGATAAAGATTGCAACCAAGGAAGTGTCATGGCAGGATGTTTGCGACGAGATTACCCCGGAAGGACACGTGGCAATCCGGGAAGAAGATGCCCAGATGATGCCCACGGTGTTCTCCTGGCGATCGGATCATTCATTCATTTCAGCGCCTCCACCCGACTTGACAAAACAGGCGAACACGAAACAGATTGACGTTCGGATCTGGAACCAGTTTTTCGAACTACACGTTCCACAATATGTGCCAGAAGAAATCCACCAGGTAATTGCGGATATTCTAACGGAATACCAAGAAGCAATTAGTGTGTCAGACACTGACATCGGATTGTCGTTAGTAATCCAACATGAAATTCAGACAGGAAATCACTCCCCGATTCATTGCAAACCTTATCGCTATTCCTTGATTGAACGCAAAAAGGCTCTCGAACGAATTCGGGAGTTCGAAGCCTGCGGTTGGATTGAACCCGCTACCGGACCTTAGTCCTTTCCTGTAGTATTAGTACCGAATAAAAACGGGGCGATTCGCATCTGCATTGATTTTGATAAACTGGATGAAATCACGACCAAAGATGTGTATCCCCTCCCCCGGATTGATGATTTGTTGGATGCGATTGGGTGCGCTAATTATTTCAGCTAGTTTGATATTCGACATGGCTTCCATCATATTATGGTAAGGGAAGAAGATCGGCCAAAAACGGTCTTTGTGTTGTTTGAGGGCACATGGCAGTGGGATCGGTGTCCGATGGGGATTTGCAATGCGCCTGCCACGTTTCAGCAAGCAATGAATATGACGTTCCAGAATTTCGTCAACAAGACACGGCTGATGCAAGGGATGATCAACTTCTATGTAATCGTGTACATGGACGACATCCTGGTCTATTCGGAGACCTATCACGGGCACGCGCAACACATCGAATGGACATTGGGCGCACTGAGAGATGTTGGGTTCAAGATTGCGCTCGAGAAGAGCGAATTTTTCCTCTCAGAAATTTCGTTCTTAGGCTACGTTGTGACACGTGGAGGATTGCGGCCGGACTCGAGAAAAGTGGCGGCGGTAAAGGAAGCCCCAGTTCCCACGTCACTGACGCAGGTTCGAGCCTTCTTGGGATTGGCGTCGTACTACCGGCGCTTCATCAAAGGCTTTGCCGCGATTGCACGACCACTAACGAATCTGTTACGGAAGGACCAGCCTCTCAGCTGGGACGCGGAGTGCCAGCAGGCTTTTGCAACTCTCAAGGACGCTCTGGCAATGGCCCCTATTTTGATTCGACCGGACCCCTCGAAACAGTTCATTCTCATCACGGACTGGCAACCGGAAGCTGTTTCCGCTATTTTAGCACAGAAGGGGAACGATGGTCGCGAACACGTCATCGAGTACGTGTCACGAACCGTACCGGACGAACGAAGAAACGACTCCGCACCTCAGGGTGAGTGCTATGCAGTAGTTTGGGGAATCCAACACTTCCATCCGTATCTCTACGGACAGAAGTTCCATCTCGTAACGGATCACGAGCCTCTGCTGGCGCTGAAGAAACTCACCAACTACACGGGCATGATTGGCCGTTGGGCCGTGCGATTACAAGAATACGACTTCGATATCGTCCATCGAAAGACAGAGCGACACGGCAGCGCGGACGGGCTGACACGTCTGCACCGGCCTGCCAAGGTACCAAAGGGTGAGGAAATTACACCGTGGAAGGAGCCGGACTTGACCCACGAGCCGAAATACGGACAAGTGGCAGTTCTTCCACGTGGCAAGGAGTAAGACGGCGACGATGGGTGATGGAGGTAACCCCACTGCCCCTCTCTCTCCCCCTTCCTCTTCGTCTCTCCTCTCCCTGCCCGACAAATTTTGCTATTTTTGCGAAGCTATTTCCCGCGTATATTCGGTCCCCATGCATCTTAACGGGGAGGGGTATGCAGATTGGATAGATTGCCGACAGTGTGTTGCACGAGCCCATGGCTCGTGCATCCAATACAGAAACGATAGTAAACCATGGTTGTGCCCCTTGTGCCAGACCAACAAGATTCCTACCGAGGCTCGATTTTTGGATGCCACGTCAGAAGGATTGGAAAAGACCCGAAAGTTTAGAAGGGTCGAAGTATGGACGGATATTGCCTTAATTGCCACCCTAGTAGGTAACCCCCTCCATGATTTCACCAAAGAAGATCGGAGGAGGGCCAACGAAAGAGCTCGGGATTATCGATGGGTAGAGGGTAGATTAGAAAAACGGAAAACGGACGCCAGTGGGATTTGGATGGTAGTGCCGCATCCGTTCATGCGGTATGACTGGGTTAAGACAACCCACAAGAAAACTGCGGCTCATTTTGCCGTACGAATCACAGAGTCCGCTATCGACAAAAATGAGTGGTATTGGTCCAATATCCGCGACGATGTGAAGTACATCGTCGCCAACTGTCAGGTCTGCGCCGCACATAAAGCGTCGATTCAGCCACCAAGATCGATAGTGCCCACGGTTGTTGAACAGCAATTTCAAAGAGTTAGCATGGACACTACCCACGTAGTGGTGCCCCCTGGCCCTAATAGTTGCAAGTATTCAGTCTTGCTGGTATTTGTCGACAATTTCTCAAAATGGATCGAAGCGTATCCTTGTCGCACACGGCAAGCCACGAAAATCGCGCGATATGTCAACCGTTTCCTCGGGATGCATCAGGATACGGAGGAAATCCTAACCGACAATGGGGCTGAATTCAGGAGAGAAGTGTTAAGGAATCTGGTCCTACACGGCGTCGCCATACGGAACACTGCACCTCACATGTCACAATCCAATGGGCTGGTCGAAAACGCTAACCGGGTGATAAAGACAGCGTTGCGACGAAACATCGCGGCACGGGATCGAGACCCTGGCCCGATATCGTCGATCACATCCTGGCGGTCCATCGTGGAACGCCCCACGAATCGACAAGGCTGAGCCGCTTCCAATTAAGAACCAATAGCGTCGCTTGCGTTTCAATACCAAGCCTCCCGGACGAGTCTACATTGAACCGACGGCCCACCAGGGCCACGGCTAGGGAGAAGGCCAAACGACACCTAGAGCTAATGGAACGGTCACTACCCAGGCTAGCCCGAAAACGACAGAAAATGACCGAATTAGCCCAAGGCCGACAGGTCTGGAGCTACGAAGCCCGAAATGGGAATGTGGGTCCGCGGCCCCAGTACAAATTGGGGGACGTGGTGCAGGTGAGGAAATGTGCTCGCCAGGGTAAGCTAGCGCCACGATTCTTCGGGCGATATCGCGTGATCGAGCTTGGCCCCAACGGCGTGGACACCGTGCGTCTCGCCCCTGAAGTCTCTGGCAGTCGATCGGCTCGTCCGATCACACGCCACGTGTCCTATCTTCGCCTCCTTCCCTCTGCTCCATCTCCCTCTCCCTCGATCTCTCTTTCTGAGGACGCCGACGACGGCAGCTCGGACTCTCCGCCATTTCCCTCCCCTTCTTGCTCCCTCTCTGCCACCCCGTCACCCCCGCCATCACCATGAGTTTCGCCATCGAGCGAGCTTTCAGTAATCAGTTGCTGATGCCACTGGAAGAGATCTCAGCCATCCGCCAAGTGCATCATCCGCGGATCAGCCCCGACTTCATGCGCCTTGTGCAGTTCTTCCGCACTGCGGGTGTATACGGCGCGGCAGAGTTCCGATTCACGAGCGATCCCCAGATATTCGTGCTGGCCGAGGCAACGGCGTTCCAACGGTGAGCGGCCCCGGGAATCAGCCACATGTCTACCGTGGTAGTCTTCAGCGGCAACATCACCGCCTTCGATCCAGCGCGGCAAGCCGCCATTAAAAGCACCTTGTACCGGTGGGGTCGCAATCTGGCCACTGATTGGGATCAACGGCTCACAAGGCACGGTGACGAGTGCTATCCTATCGACGGCATCGAGGTCAACACGCTGCGCACGACGCTACGCGAGCCACCTGTCGTCCTCCCAGAACTTGCCCCCTTCCAGCCACGCAGATGAGCCGCGCGCCGATCTCGACGTTCTCTCCTCCCTCTCTCTTCCCCATCTTCTGGCAGTCCTCTCACTACCCTCGTCTCTCCTTCCGTCTGGAGCCACTGGCAGTACCCATCGTTGATCCGGACCGTTGGTGGCTGTGGGCCTGTGGCGTACAGAATTCGTCGAGCTCTCGTTTTGCCTGCTACAAGTGGATCTGAACTGGACGTGGGAAGGCGATCAGAGACCTGCTTCGGAGATTGTGGAGTTGCTCGTCATTCAGGCGTGGAGGACCAACGTGGCGGGAGATCTTCTGGGATTCGTCTTTGGAGCGGTGGATCGGGGAAACCGATTACAGATCGTGCGCGAACTTATGATCGTGATCGCACGATTGGCTGACGAACTCCCCCTCGACATCGTCTCTCAGAGCGACGAAGAACCCGTGCCACATACCCTCTCAAGGACTCTCGCCCCGAGCCTCCAGTGGTCGGCTTGTATCGAGGAGCGCTTGGCGGACGGCCGTTTTCATTCCCGAAGCGAGTACCTGGACGTCCACAGCCTGACTAATCCCCGCTTCTTTCAGCAACCAACGGCGTTCGAGTGGGCAGCGCTGAGAGCAAAAGAGGAGCCTGAAGAGGAATCGGAAGGAGAATTGAGGAGAGAGGCCGGGGAAGCAGCAGCGCGATTGGCCGAGGACGAGGAAGAAGAGCGCGAAGCAGAAGGAGAGTCAGAAGAAGAAGAAGAAGAAGAAGAAGAAGAAGAAGAAGAAGAAGAAGAAGAAGAAGAAGAAGAAGAAGAAGAAGAAGAAGAAGAAGACGCAGAAGAGGAGACTTCGGAGGAAGAGAAAGAGGCCTATAGCGAGTACAGCGAGGGCGAGCAAAGTGAGGAGGAGGAAGACGACGAAGAAGTGGAAAGCGAGGACAACCAAGAGCCAATGCACGACGAGCTCGAGTGGGTGTCAGGACCGGACCGGCGAGAGGAGAACCCGGAGGCTGCTGCGCAGCGCAAGAAAGAGATCGCGGAAGGAAAACGGCTGGTGATCGATCCCGCACCAAACGATCCTTTCAAGGATCCCGAGCCGCCCAAGCCAGAACATGGGGACCTTGCTGCCACGACCTCGGGAGCCGCGATGACAAGGCGCCAATCCCGATCCCGATCCACGTCCCCCTCCGCCTCCGCCCGTCCCCCAATTCGTCAACGTGTCAATGAGGGGCTCAGCCCTTCGTCCCCGATCCACATACCACCATCCCCTCAGCTATCTCTCTTTCAATCAGTATTTCCATCGCATCGTCTACCCCTGTAATCCTTTCCCCATCGCCACCTTCCGACATTTCTACTCCGCCCGCCTAGAACAGACTGTCCACCCCCACCCCTCCGTTCGGTGTGCTCTCCCCGACTATTCCCTCCACGTTCTGCTCCTTAGCGCCGCGTGGCGAGGTCGTAACCATATAGAAGTTTACTGCATCGTTACGGGGACCTTCCCCGCGTGCGAGAACCATGATCGGTTCCGCACAAACGTCCTTTGAACCCTCGTATCCCTTTACCCAGATTACCTCGCTTCCCTTCCCCGCAGCGGCCAGAGATTCCCCGCTTCCATCGCATCGTCCGTTTCCAATAACTTCCCTACGACCTCACTGCGATCGGGCGCTTCATACCCGAACTTACAATGGAGCCGCCCCGCCCTCCCTCATACGCGTATCGCCTTCCCTTCCCCCTTCCGTTAATTACTGATGCAACGGTAATGAACGCGTGCCGCGGCGACGGCACGAGAAAGATCCCGCCTTTGGATCGTCAAGAGCCCAATTTGAGGAACTAGTAGAAGAGCAGAGTTGCCACGTTGGATGACGTCCACACGCAATCGAATGGTAAGTGGCATAAAGTGAAGTGCTCCGCGTGTCGATCGATTAGAGAAATCGACACGTGCCAACAAGCAAGCAGGAGCTTGCTAGTCCGGCTGGGCGATTGGTCGGATGGATGTCTGGCGCGTCACCATGCGCGCGATTAATAAATGTTGACGTCGTTTCTTTCGTTTCGGGTTCGATCTTTTGGGCGAGGACATCGCGCGGGAAATTGTTTCGTTCTTTTTTAATTTCCTTTTGAATCTTTTTCGAATTTTGTCGAGCCCTGATGGCTCTCGGCATTTTGGACTTTCTTTCTGGAATGTATGCTTTTTACTTTTCCGCACTAGATAGGAATTTAGGAATTCAGTAATTAGGATTTTTTTTGCTGCGTTGCGCCTTCTGTCTACGCGCTTTTTCATGCGGCTGCAACGGTACTCTTATTAGTGGGCGCCCTTAATCGTGTGTGTGACTGCAATTTTGGGCGGGCGCCATTGTAACTGTATCTTTCCTCTTGCACTTCGTCTCTTCCGCTCTCCCTCTCTTTCTTTTGCTGTGAGCCGCGGCTTGCATGCTCGAATTGATGCGTGGAGAAGGGTTACGTGACTTACGTCCCCCATGCCGCGGCCAATCATGCAGAACGCAGGCGCTTCCTCCCTAATCCCCACTCTAAGTCCTAGTAATTCCGTGTTCTTCGCGCATGCATGCACGCTATAAATTTCGGCTGCGCGATTAGTCAGCTCTCTTGACCCGTTGTTGGAAGCTCGGGGTTGCGCGATCAGGAAGGGTCGGCACACGACCGAAGTAAGAGGTGAGTACAGTAGGAGTTGGGCGACCCG